GCTTCTGGAAGTCACCGGGGAGTGTGGTTCTGTGGGAGAAGCATTGCCACATTCGTTCTTCCTGGACTGTGTCTGTTGTGAACCAATGGGGGGGGGGGGAGGGAGGCGCCTTGCGCGGCCTTGCTGGGCTCTGCAGGGGCCGGAGCTCCTGCCTTTTCTTAGCTTGCTCCACACCTTTGGCAGCTTCCTAGGCCCACCTGGATTTTAAGTGATGATTTGTGGTCCTGGGGTAGCACTCACAGCCTCCTGCTTACTAGGTGAGCCCTTTGAATTCTTTTTCTCCAGTCCTGGGGCTTGGACTCAGGGCCTGGGTGATGTCTCTGAGCTCCTCTGGCTCCAGGATAGCACTCTACCACTTGAGCCACAGCTCCACTTCCAGCTTTGGGAGATAAGAGTCTCACAGACTTTCCTGCCGGAGCTTTGAACCGCCATCCTCAGATCTCAGCTTCCTGAGTATCTGGGATGACCTGCGTGAGCCAGGGGCCAGCCCCGCCCTTCCAACTCTTTCGCCTTCCAAGCCTTTGCTTTTCTTCCCACCCTTGGTGCGTGTGCGTGCACGTGTATACTGATACAGGGACTTGAACTCAAGGCCTCATCATGCTCGCTCTCTCTTCTTCCACTCAAGGTTGTCACGATACCACTTGATCCACAGCTCCATCTCTGGCTTTTTGCTGGGTAAGTGGTGCTGAGTCTCAGGCCTTCCTGCCTGGGCTGCTCCAAGCCGGAGCCTCCTGGGTAGCTAGGCTGCCGTGGCCTCCGGCTCTCTCTGACCTCAGCTCTCTCTCTCTCTCTGACCTCGGCTCTCTCTCTGACCTCGGCTCTCTCTCTGACCTCGGCTCTCTCTGACCTCGGCTCTCTCTGACCTCGGCTCTCTCTCTCTCTCTCTCTCTCTCTCTCTCTCTCTCTCTCGCTCTCTCTGACCTCGGCTCTCTCTCTCTGACCTCGGCTCTCTCTCTCTAACCTCAGCTCTCTCTCTGACCTCGGATCTCTCTGACCTCGGCTCTCTCTCTCTCTCTCTCTCTGACCTCGGCTCTCTCTCTGACCTCGGCTCTCTCTCTCTGACCTCGGATCTCTCTGACCTCGGATCTCTCTGACCTCGGCTCTCTCTCTCTCTCTCTGA